AAAAATACTTGACATACAATAAAAACACCTTTCAGTTAAAGTTGTTTATTTTCTAACGAATTAAGATCTCTTTCAAAAGAAAATTTTTGCATACGTATTATAAATATTAATCACGCAACAGATATATGTGTATTCTCATTGCGTGTTCCTCACTCTTCTCTATATCTCGATATTCTCATAATTCTCGCCTTTCAAATCTCTCGTATAGACGTAGAGAGCTTTCGTAATTGTACACCGAGACTATTCACGGTAGGAGAAATCGGATATCGACTGGATCAATTTCTACTGAAGGGTCAACTCTCTTTGAGGCAAATGCGAAGTTTTCGAATAAATTTCACACAAATTACAAACGCTGGCAGACTGCGCACTGATGCGTGAAATGATGCTTTATTTCCCAGAATATCTTCAAATTGATATTCTTCAGTATTTAAGAATCTCTTCGAAAAATCGTTTGTCTCTGACACGTCGATCAATTTGTTGCGAAATAGACTGCTACAAATTTCAATTATGATATAAAATCTTTGATATATATTTAGACTTGCTAGATAATATATATGTTAACAAAAATTAACGGATTGAAATTTAAGAAAAACTCAATTTCAAGTTATTATATATTATATAGTACTTACATACACAGTAACAAATTTAATGTCTCAGAAAGTCCACTCTAAATTTTGTGTTAAAATAACACAATGCATGAGTTATTTTAACACAAAATTTAGAGTGGACTTTCTGGGACATTAAATTTTTTACAGTGTATAAATCTTAATACTCATGTATTTCACATACACAAAATAACTTACTGCAATGGCGACGCAACGAAAGCGATTTGCCGATAGAAAGAAATCTAAAATTTCCGAATATTGAAAGCAACAGTAGACTGATATTTTCAATATTGTTTCGTCTCGTTCGAGAAATAACGAACAAAAATCGGCGATGCCCATTGCGGGAGTGAGTGCGCGTCAGATGCAAGCTGACCCCCGTCTGTGAAAAGCTCGGTTTTGATGCGCTCCAGCGAACCGAAAGTTCTGCGAGTGCAAGCTCAACGAAGCGCAGAGACTGACGACTTTCCGCCTGCGCGGTTAAACTCCGTGCATTTTTCCGCCCTCTTCCTGTTTCCCCGCGTGTCTCTCATCGTTTTACTATCCTTTTTCGCAAAATTTTTTCGTAGCCTTTTCACTATTTATTCGAACTGTCAAGACTGATTATGAGATTATTCTTCCTGAGGACCGAAGTTTTGAAAGAAAATAAAAAAGAAAATATCGTAATATAATTACAGAACGTGAATGACATCGAACATTGCTTTCATTATATACAAAACATATATTTGCTGTACATCTATATAGAGTGGAGCACACAAAATGTCATACATTTTAAAGTAAGAGTCCGTCTCCCAGAGATCGTGAGACAAAATAACGATCATACTGAACATTCATTAATAATAATCTTTCAGGCTTTTGCGATGCATTCTATACACGGTTCGTATCAACTTTGTCAATAACAAATATTTTATACAAAAAAGATATAATATGACATATCACATTCTGTACGCAAGTATACATAAAAATTTTTTTCAAATCACAAGTCTTTCAAATTGTCAAATTTTACATTTGTGTCGGACACATAGAAGAATATGACGGTTTTATGCGAAAATTGTAGAAGCACTTTTATAACATCAAAGAAAATTGTTATTGAGATGAGGACATAACTAAAATTGACCCGTTGATATACGTTATATGATTCTCGAAAATGGAGTGTCAATGATATGCTGTCTCCCTGTATATACTGCTACTAAAATATCGTGGTTAGTAGTCTGAAAGAGAAACATCTCGTATTTATTCATGATATTTGTTTTCCGCAATTGATACTGCTCGCGTTTCAATTTACCCGTAGGAATTTGAGTATCCTTTCAAGGATACTAAGCTCGAGTTTAGTATGTTTACTCTTTAATAAGATTCTCTGTGTGCGTGCGTGCTTGTGTTTGTAACATGTAGTATATATAATAGGTTGGCCAATAAGTCCGTGCGGTTTTTTACTTATAAATGTTATTTATAAATAACCGCACGGACTTATTGGCCAACCCAATATTATACATATAATAAAAACTATTATTAATCTAATTTTGTCAATCGAGAATCCGTGAGAATCGGCGATCCTTAAATTTTATTCCAGATTAGCTAATCTTTAACATTATAATTTAATAAAATAGTATGAGGACCCTCGAAATATTAAAATAAGAGAAGTAAAGGCTATAAGGATCAGACGCAGATCTCCGTGCGTAATATCAGAAATAACTGATTTATTGATCGTTGTGATTTACATCGATCCGTACGTTTCAGCTCAACTTTGAGTCATCTTCAACGGTATAAATTAAAATAATATCATCATTGTCGTGTGTCGTGTCGACAAGATCGTTAACCCTCAATTAGCACACATGTGCTAATTCGCACCACTTTTTTTTTGTTTAGCACTTTATATATTTCAATTTTTCATACAAAAATTACTTCTTTTTCCTAAAATAAAGAGCACTACTCGATTGCCAGGGAAATTTTACATAAATTTTTATTAAAAATGACTGAGATACGACAGTTAAAAGTTGTCAAAATGTCAAATCGCACTAGTGTGGCATTTGAGCTGGCCTAACCGAGGTGTGCTAATTAAGGGTTAATAAGTCTCTTCGCAGAGAGTATTTTTATCTGCCATAGTTTATATTCATCTTACGTATGGCTCTTAATTCCACGTTTTTTAGACTGATTGATATGGATCTGGATCAATTGGTCTATGTTTCCAACACAGTTTCTGAAACTTAGAGAACGTTGAATATATTATTTTAATTTATACCGCTGAAGATGGCTCAAAGTTTAGCTGAAACGTACGCGCGGATCGATGTAAATCACAACGACCAATAAATCAGTTATTTCTGATATTACGCACGGAGATCTGCGTCTGACCCTTATACCCTTTCCTTCTCTTATTATAATTTAACAATACGGACATGACGCATGCATATGTATATATCAACAATTCAGCTGTTAGCTAAAACAATACACGGCGCGATACAGATATTACGAAACTCCTATCGACGAAATCCTGTTGACACAGTTGTTCGTAACCGCGTTACTCTTGCGATCGTCCTATCTCGGACAATGCAGGCGGCATAGCATTCGGAACGTCGCCGTCGCGTGCGATTTCGAAGCTACGTCGCCGCAGGAATACGCGGGCGAGTATTGCGCAATGCATTGTCGCTTCGTGTCGCGGTGAGATAAACGTGAGCGGCACTCTGAGAGCGGCAAGCAATAGGGGAAAAAAATAAATGAAGAAAACAAAGAAACGGGAAAAAATTAGACGACCTTTTAGGTCTGGCCGATCACTATGGCATTCGCTGCGTTCGCTCTCACTCTCTCGCGTAGCTGCGCTCGTACCTCGTATCGGTTAGTCCCGCAAGATTCAATAATTTAAGCAGTAATGGCCTGGTCATCGATCGACGCTCGGCTGGAGTTTAAAATATCTGGCGTTGCCCGCTCTTGCGATTTCCCAGCGCTTATTTTTCTTTCCCATCGCTTCTGTGCATTGCTCTGTAGTCTCTGTACAGTCTGTACAGCAACGGCGATGTTTGTCGGGAACATTAACTCGGGCAAATTAATGTTTATCGATAGGATCGTTAACCCCTTTGTAACGGAGAGCTATTATTTGTTAAAGGAAAACTCCGCTTTCATGAATCGTTTGCATCGTTGTAAATATTCGTGAATTTTCGAATAAACTTCTTCTCGAATCGATCATAAAGTTGCCAGTGACTTAAGGACTCCTTTGAAGAAAGGCAACGTATATCGTATCTTCAAAGAAGCGACATCAAATAATTCAACGTAGTTTCTGCCTTTAACGAGGGCAAAGGTGCAATTATTTAGACACAAATCTCTGCCGCCTTGGTACATATCGATCGGCTTCAGCTACGTGGTTAAAAATATCTATTCGCATGCCTGGATGCATTATGGCAGTTTAGGCCGTCCTCCTTGAACTTCCTTTTTCGCCCTTTTCCTCGATCAAGTGCAGGACGATGGTGTCGAAGGTCGGAATTAATCAATGGATAGTTATTAGCAAAGGTATAAAACGCTTCGTGTTTATATTAAATGTAAAAATTTAGAATATTGGAAGTATCGATGAAATGATCGATCTCCTATCACGTCTCGGTATTTATTTGTCTGAGTTTCGCTTTTGATTTGTGACAAAATAATTCGTCAATTTAATGAGAAACATTATTTTAAGATAAAATTATCAGTAAAGAACAATACATATTCGTGTAGCTTACAAAAGCAAGTTAGACTGATTGTGAGTTACATTTATATCGAAACTGGGCCAAGTACGGATTAATATGCACCTGGAACATTGATCGAGATATTAATTGAAACTATTGTCCAAATGTGCATATATATATGCATCTGTTTCTGAAGGACCATCTAGAGACATAGGTATTCGTCAATCTTCTGGGACATACGTCATGTCGTCGTTATTCCACAAGAGCGGAAACTGCATAGTTCATCTCTTCTACTGTCACAATACCACGCGCACTTCATCCACTTTGTATTATGCACACGTCTGTGAACGTATGCTCGCTCAAATACATCTGCATTTATATCGCATGTTTGCGTAAGCGGGTGCATTGTCATCGTATATTATCCCGTTCTCGAAACGAAGATACTTTTTTTTTTAGTTAGCTATTAAACGACCCGATGAGCGATGTTATGAATGATAAACGTCGCAAAACAAGTATGCCGTGTACATAAACAGTTCGGGCAGTTCGATATATTACAGCTATCCTAAATATAAGAATACACATGACGCAAATGGAATATATAGGACTTTTCGCTATCGTAATAATCATCATTCGACACAGCTAAATAATACAGTTACGTCATATCTAATATACTTTCTTCACGTTAGAAAGTTTCGATCAAGATTTTTCGATTTTTTATTTGTAGAAGAAGCAATTTGAAGTTACTTACCGTGGAATGTCGCCGATTCGCGGTGGCCGATACTTTCGCGGACTACCCACGTCGCTCCATACGTTGCAAGCTGCAAAATTAAAAAAGTACTTGAGCTAACGCGGTAATGGTTTTTAATGCGTGGCGTTACTGCGCAAAATTGAACATTGATATGAAAGAATAGACCAGTTGAATATTACACACTCAACATTTAACATCGTTAAATCAAAGTTATAAAAGTTATGTGATATTTGCGAAAGTCTAAAATAGTTATTTATTCCTTTCTATATATAGCACCGTGAAAACTTTTCCCAAATATTACATTGTTTAGAGTAAAGTTATTAAAATAGATTACCTCACAATTTCAAACGAACTATAAAACGGCAACTTTTTTTATGGAATCAATTAGTTTGACTTTATCGAACTGTCCAAAAATAGCGAATATTTGTGCGAAAAATGGAATATCCGCGGTAGAGACAATTCGTGACAATTTGCGTGTATCGAAGGAAGCTATAGTTTTCTAGCTATCTAGCATCTGGTGAATGTCTCGTGCGGATGCGTGTCTTTTCTCCGTCCATAACAATGAAATTATGCGGATCAATTCCACGAGATGGGCACATTTCCACGCCTGCCTCCTATAATTCAGCTCCTCTTCCGGGCATCGAGCACAATTGTGTCTGATGTTATATATCGCTTTCTCATTTCCATACAAATCACGATAGTTTTCAATAAGTGAAACGCAAACAATTTTACATGCTCAAATCAATAGAGGAGATTGATTTGAAGGAACTTATTTACTTTATCAGCATTAGATGCAGATTTTATCAGCGATTAATTTCGTGACTGATATCAGATAAAAAAAAAAAAAAGAATTTTAATTTTTTTAAAATTTGTTTTATCTAACTCATGTCAGTTTATCATTCTTAATGTTTCACTACAGAGTTTGTTCCTCGGAAAGCTTGTTGTAATATATGGAACGAGTAAATCAGCGAAATTGAGTTTAATATTGATTGCTGAGTTTATCGCATCGTACGTTCAGTTTATGGCTTCATCTCGATGAGGAAGATCGGTTGTTTGATTGCTGAGTGTACTTTCATGAGTTTACAATTCCGCTTGAGAAATAATATTTCTGCAGAACATATCATATATATGTAGCATTCTCATTTTTTTCCTCAATATTTATCTTCAAATTAAAAAAGAAATTATTGTCATGAAAAAGTTGTGTATCCCGTATATGCGATCGATAAAATTTACTCCAAAAATAAAAATTCGGAAGTTCTTATATATTTTTCTATGTTTTTTTAGTGCGCATTAGTGACAGACTTTATTTTTATATTTATATAGTATTGTTTATCTATATGTATATAAATATAAAAAATTTATAGGAATTGACCAATATTTCCAACCGCTCGTGAAGTAAACAATCTCGTGAGCTTTTTAAGAGCAAATAGGTAGGCGTAATATTGAAAGAATCGTTGAAGAAAGCAAGTACGGTAAGTTTAATCGAAGCTCTAAGAATACCGCCCTGTAACGGATATTAAAGGTTCACCCTGTTACACGAGCGACATTTGCTAATTATAAAGTTCCGCTTTTACAAAGTCACGAAGTGATATCGATTATGCAGGCATAATCGAGTATGCAACCGAACGATTTAATCTTTGCAATACCGCAATTTCTCTCGCAAACACTATAGAAATACGCGTTATTAAAATATTTAAATTCTTTTTCTATTTCCGAAATTTTTATTACTTTTAAAGTACAATACGTGCATTTTTTAAAATTATCGTTAAAAAGTTTTTTATGTTCACTGTTTATATCCGATACGCACGTGTGCGTTACGATTAAAAAATACTGCGTCGCTAAATTTATAGTTTAATATACACGAGAGAAAACGTATATATTCGTTAAACATTTAATTAAAATAGAATTTGTGAACATACGACGTATATGTTTGCGATGACCCATGATTAATGAGTGTATGTTGACGTTGAATTTACTATAAATAGCCTTTACATTACTTTATATAAATTATGTATATTGCGTATAATTTTAATTACAGTAATTCCTGATGTATTGCAAACACAAGCGATTAAAATGCGCGTGTGGCACGCTTGATATTTGCAAACTTGCGTTTTTCGCAAATAAGGCAATTTTTCGAAATTGCCTTACGGCGCACGTTAAACGATCATTAATCTTTTATTTTTTGATAACTCTTTACGCTAGTTTTTACATCATTATTTTACCAATAACTCCAATTTTACGTGAATATTAAACACACTGCACTGTTCTTCGAGACGCAAACAAGCTTTAAAAAAAATGGCAATTCAATTCTTTCTTACATAAAAATGGAAAAATAAAATTGAAGATAGGAAGTATTTTGCAATTATCGAAATTCATTAGTCGAGCTGCATCCAATGTTGACAGCGCGAAAGTAATGTAAAATTGACACTGAAATTTTATCACTACGATAAATCTACTATTGATTACGGAAATTCTTTTTTTTTTATTGGAATAGTGATGCGACAGCTGACAAGTGAGTTTGCGGACTGCCAGCAATTTCGTATTCAGTAATTTTTTTTCTCGCGCCGCAGCTTGTGTTTTTTCTAAATTCACTTATTTTGTTACAGTCGTTATACTTATTATATGAGTGAAATTAGAGATCTTATCCCTTTCTCTCGACAATCTATATGAATTCATCAAAATGTATCACATTATATTGTAATTACAATACTTGTACACGAATCCGATAAAAAATCAAGATATACTTTTTTAGCGGATTATTTAATTACAGTTTGTTGTTCCGCCATCTATTTCTACACAATTTAAATTTTTTGAAAGTTAAATTAAATTTGCAGACCAAGAATAATAACAAAAAATGCTTTTTATTATCTGTTGTGAGTAAAAAATTACATCCGAATATTTATTCGAAAATATTATTATTGTGTATTGCAATGTATATATAATTACACAATTACATATTTTTTATGTATAAAATAACAGGATAAGAATAATCGTGTCTCTATAAGAAATTTGGTGAGGTCTTGATAACTGCATCATTTCACAAACATTTTAATTTCTTTGACTGCCCTGTTGGGAGTCATAAAATTTCGTGCTCGAGAATCTCTCTCTCCCTCTCCCTCTTCCTCTCCCTCTCCCTCTCCCTCTCCCTCTCCCTCTCCCTCTCTCTCTCCCTCTCTCTCTCTCTCTCTCTCTCTCTCTCTCCGTCAGTGTTTCTGTTTTTCTCCGTCACTGTTTCTGTTTTTCTCCCTCTCTCATGTAATTTTGTTTTATTGATACGTGAGCGTACCTGCTAGCAAAATTTCCCGCAACTATTTAATTAGTGAAATTATGATAATTATGTTATTGTTGGCTAAATAAAGTTGGATTTTCAATCACTCAAATAACATAATAAACATAGGAACAATGTACAAACGGAGAGATAATATTTTTAAAATATTTTCGTGATAATCTGTTTTACAAATCATATTATAACAGATTTTGCAATTAATTATTTTGCACTGGAATTATTTTTATTGTTTATTATGAAACGTTTATTGCGCTTATTGCGTGAATAAGTGAAAAAATCATGAAACTTTGCAAATTGTAAAATTTTATAATTTTTTTTTATTACTTTATGTTTCTATTTTTTAAAAATATTTTTCGATGTTATTTTGTTTAGGGAGTATATATTTTGTTTCAGGGAGTGTATATTTTGTTTTAGGGAATATATATACCGATGGCTGCTTTATTTTATCGAATAAGGTGTACATTTACAATACTTGTTTTCAATATAGTTTGCCGCACTACATGTTGCGAGACTTCGTTACTGCGTACATTGATTAATAATTAGGCGATAATTAATTGCTAACATGAAAATAAAAGCTTGACGGTTCTCATCTTGTATGGGGATACGGGATAATTAATGGTAAAAGATAACACAGGATTATTTCGGAATTATTGAACTGAAATAATTAAGTTCTTTATAAAATTAGAAATTTATCAAATGTATTTTTATCTTCATCTCTTTCGCTTTTTATTTTAATATTCTTAAACGTAATGCATTTTTACAATTTTTAGAAGTAATAAATAAGTAAGTTTGAAAATAAAATATTATATAAATTGATTTCACAATAATTTAATGTTTATAATTCTCCGTAATATCTTATTTCTTAATTTTTTCTTATAAAATGCTTTGAAACAGCGTTAATTTGATAAATGTACATGTTAAACAAAATATGTTAATTGTAATTCCATAGCTTTATGTTAAATAAGTGATATTATTTTCTGGCACAATGGTGCGTTACATCGCCATAGTAGAAAGAATTCTTATTTTTTAATTTTTTTTTATAAAACATTGAAACAGCATTAATTTGATAAATGTACATGTTAAACAAAAGATGTAAATTGTAATTTCGCTGATTTATGTTTAAGTAAAATAAGTGATACTATTTTTTGGTACACTGTGCGTTATATCGCCGTTGTAGAAAGGATTCTTAAAACGCAGTCATAAATCACATTAAGAACATAAAAATATTTAATGCCCAATTGTAGGACTTTTTAATGCTATTGTTACGGTTATCTAGATGTTAACCCCAAGCACGGAAGCTTTTGTTTCTTACCTGCTTTTATTCAAGTTATATGGCGAATAAATTCTTTTATTCTCTTTTTCTTCTAGAGGTCTAATATTTTCTAGTCTTTCTTACACTGCGTTAATTAATTATAACGTCTTAAGAAAAAAAATATGAAGAAAATGATTGTACACGTAATTGTAGACAAACGAAAATGTACATGTAATTGTAATTGTACGAATTTATTTCTGAATTTAGAAATTCAAAATATTTTATTCTCAAACTTTATTTTATTGATATTTTTTCAAGCTTCTATTTTATTAATATTATTAATAATAATAATGTTAATAATAGCTATGGAATAATAATAATGCAAATTTTGAATATTTTATCTTTAAAGAAATGGTAACTTTATTTACATAAAAGCGAAATCCGTATGATTATTGTGATTAGAAGAACAAATTACTTCATGCGGAAGATTCTGGAAAGCGTCTGGGATTTTCACGAGGGGGGTATCGGGCGG